AATTATACAATAGAACAGTTAGACTTAATTGATATTTTCAGGATATTACATCCAAAAAAAAAAAAAAAACAGAATACACATTCTTTTCAAGTGCATATCAAACATTTTCTAGGATTGACCACATACTAGGGCACAAAGCTAACCTCAACAAATTTAAGAGTATAGAAATTATTTCAAACATCTTCTCTGACTACAACAGCATGAAGCTAGAAATCAACCACAAGAAAAGAAATGAGGAAAAAAATGATTCCATGGAGACTAAACAACATGCTACTAAAAAACCAATGGGTCAAAGAGGAAATCAAAAAGGAAATTAACAAATACCTTGAGACAAATGACAATGAAAACACAACCATACAAAATCTGTAAGATGCAGCAAAAGCAGTTCTTAGAGGGAAGTTCATAGCAATACAGGCCTTCCTCAAAAAGCAAGAAAAATCTCAAATAAACAACCTAACCTACCACTTAAAAGAATTATAAAGAGAAGAACCAACAAAACCTAAAGCCAAAAGAAGGAAGGAAATAATAAAGATCAGGGAGGAAATGAATAAAACAGAGATTATCAAAACAGTGAAAAACAAAAAATCAATAAAACCAAGAGCTGGTTCTTTGAGAGGATAAGCAAAGATGACATACCTCTGACCAGGCTCACCAAAAAGAAAAGAAAGCGAACCCCAAAAAACAAAATAAGAAATGAAAAAGGAGAAATCTCAACTTATACCACAGAAACATGAAAACATACCATGAACAATTATACACCAACAAATTTGACAACCTAGAAGAAATGGACAACTTTCTAGAAACATACAGCCCACCAAAATTGAATCAAGAAGAAAGAGATAATTGAGCAGACTGATCACTAGAAGTGAAATAAAATCTGTAGTAAAAAAAATAATAAAAATCTCGCTACAAACAAAAGGACCAGATGGCTTCACAGTTGAATTCTACCAAACATACAAAGAAGAACTTATACCTATTTTTCTCAAACTCTTCCAAAAGATTGAAGAAGAGGGAACACTCCCAAAGACATCTATGAAGCCACCATCACCCTGTACCAAAACCAGACAAAGATACCATCAACAAAGAAAATTACAGACCAATATCTTTGGTGAATATAGATGCAAAAATTCTCAATAAAATATTAGCAAACTGAATCCAACAGCACATAAAAATATCATACACCATGACCAAGTGGTATTCATTCCAAGCTCACAAGGATGGCTCAACATACACAAATCAATCAATGCAATACACCACATTAACAAAGAAAAGTCAAAAACTACATGATCATCTCAACAGATGCAGAAAAAGCATTTGACAAAATTCAACATCCATTCATGATAAAAAAAACTCTTACCAAAGTGGGAATAGAGGGAATATATCTCAACATAATAAAAGCCATTTATGACGGACCCACAGCCAATATAATACTCAATAGTGAATACTCAATGGTGAAATACTCAATGGTAAAAGCCTTCCCATTAAAATCTGGAACAAGACAAGGATTCCCACTCTCACCACGTGTATTCAAGATAGAATTGGAAGTCCAGCCACAGGAATCAGACAAGACAAAGAAAGGCATCCAAATTGGAAGGGAAGAGGTAAAATTGTCACTATATGCAGATGACATGATACTATACATAGAAAACCGTAAGGACTCCACACAAAAACTTCTAGATCTAATAAATGAATTTAGCAAAGTAGCAGGATACAAGATTAACATTCAGAAATTGGTTTCATTTCCTTACACTAACAATGAAATATCAGAAAGGGAATGTAAAACAAAACAATACCTTTCAAAATTCCACCAAAAAAATAAAATGCTTAGGAATAAACCTGACCAAGGAGGCGAAAGACTTATATGCTGAGAACTATAAAATACTCTAAAACATTAATAAAGGAAATTAAAGAGGATTCAAAGACATGGAAATATATCACGTGCTCTTGGATTGGAAGAATTGGTATTGTTAAAATGGCAATACTACCCAAAGCCATCTACAGATTTAATGCAATCCCTATCAAATTGCCTATGACATTTTCACAGAACTAGAACAAATAATCCAGAATTTTATATGGAACCATAAAAGACCCAGAATTGCCAACCCTGAGGAACAAAAACAAAGCAGGAGGTATAACTCTCCCAGACTTCAGACAGTACTACAAAGCTACAATAAATAAAGTGGTGTTGGTACAAAAACAGACATACGGATCAATGGAACAAAATAGAGAGCCCAGAAATAAATCTACACACCTATGGTAAATTAATCTTTAACAAAGGAGGCAAGAATATAAAATAAGAAACAGACAGTCTCTTCAGCAAGTTTTGCTGGGAAAGTTGGACAGCTGCATGTAAATCAGTGAAGTTAGAACACACCCTCACACCATGCACAAAAATAAACTCAAAATGGCTTAATGACTTAAACATAAGATATGACACCATAAAACTCCTAGATGAGAGCACAGGCAAAACATTCTCTGACATAAATTGTACCAATGTTTTCTTTGGTTCATCTCCCAAGGCAATAGGAATAAAAACAAAAATAAATAAATGGTACCTAATCAAACTTACAAGCTTTTGCATAGCAAAGGAAACCATAAAATAAGCAAAAAGACAACCTACGGAAGGGGAGAAAAATATTTGCAAATGATGCAACCAACAGGGGCTTAATCTCCAAAATATACCAACAGCTCATACAACTCAACAGCAACAAAAAAAACAAAGAACCCAATCAAAAAATGGGCAGAAGCCCTTAATAGACATTTCTCCAAAGAAGACATATAGATGGCCAAAAAGCACATGAAAAGATGCTCAAAATCACTAATTATTAGAGAAATGCAAATCAAAACTACAATGTGGTACCACCTCACACCAGTCAAAATGGCTATCATTTAAAAAATCTACAAAGAACAAATGTTGGAGAGGGTGTGGAGAAAAGGGAACCCTCCTACACTGTTGGTGGCAATGTAAGTTGGTGCAGCCACTATGGAAAACAGTATGGAGGTTCCTCAGAAAACTAAAAATAGAATTACCATATGATCCAGCAATCCCACTCCTGGGTGTATACCCAAACAAAACTATAATTCAAAAAGATGCATGCATCCCTATATTCATAGCAGCACTATTCACAATAGCCAAAACATGGAAACAACCTAAATGTCCATTGACAGATGAATGGATAAAGAAGATGTGGTACATATATACAGTGGAATACTACTCAGCCATAAAAAAGAACAAAATAATGCCATTTGCAGCAACATGGATGCAACTTAGAGATTATCATACTAAGAAAGAGAAAGACAAATACTATATGATATCACTTATATGTAGAATCTAAAATATGGCACAAATGAACCTATCTACAAAACAGAAACAGACTCACAGACATAGAGATCAGACTTGTGGTTGCCAAGGGGGTGGGGGGAGAGGGATGGACCGGGAATTTGGGATTCGTAGATGCAAACCATTACATTTAGAGTGGATAGACAACAAGGTCGTACTGTATAGCACAGGGAACTATATCCAATCTCCCAAGATAAACCATAATGGAAAAGAATATTAAATAAAGAATGTATATATATGTAAAGCTGAGTCACTTTGCTGTTCAGCAGAGATTGGCATAACATTGTAAATCAACTACACTTCAATAAAAAATAAATTTAAAAAATAAAAAGGACAAAATTGAAAAAAATTATAAAATAAAACAAAACGAAATGTTAAAAACAAAACCAGAAACAACCCAAGCAGCAGGAGCATCTAAGGAACGGAAACAATTAGCAACTGTGGGAGCTGGGATGTAATTAGATTGGGGTTCTTGTTGTTTTTGACTCCAATAATGGCTAAAATCTTTTTCTACATTTATTCTTTTAAAGGCTTTGTGCAAAAAAGAAAACACACAAGTTACTTTTATATTCTTGTAAAGAGTCTTTATAACTGCTGATAAGATGAGACAAAGAGGAGGTGGTCCCTATGGATGTTTTCTTAGCTTCACTACCTTGTAGGGTATGATTCTCAGCCAGGCAGAATTAAATGGGATGATGAAAAGCCCATGGATAATAACTTAAAATTAAAATTAAATAAAATCCAACTTAAAATTAAATAAAATCCTAAAATGAAAACAAATAAGTAAATAAATAAACACCTCCTACTGCTTTACAGATCATTTTGGCAGGTAAAGACCTTCTCCTGGTGGTTCCCCAGGCTTATGGGACTACCTTCAGAATTGCAGTTGTGCTGGTTTGGAGCTAGTTTTAAGGCTGTTGCTAGGTCTACTGTGGGATCTGCAGTCGGTATGCTTGTTACTAGGGGCTCAGGTGAGTGTGGATTATGTCTGGTGGTGGGTGGATGAGACTGGCTCCAGTACTTTTGTTCAGTAGGGTGGTCCTGGGCCATGGTTCCTTTTCAGGGTGTACAGTTGGGTCCTCAGTCAGTCAGCCTATTTCTAAGTTTGTGAACCGGTGTGACTCCCACTGGGACTCCCACAAGTACTCCAAACTTTTACACGTTATTATGTATCTGATGGAAATTATTACCATTAAAAGCAATAAGTAGAGCCCTTAAATATTCTCATATTTGGGTGATTTGTCATGTTAGTGCATTTAATCAAATCAAACGTATTATGTCTCTTGGATATATTTTATTTATTAGAGAAACCCATAGTTTTTCTACAAAGCAATCACTATTATTTGGGACCTTGAATATTAAAAATCTCTCTCACATCAAGAAGATGTAAATGGGTAGGGTAATCAATGCATAAAGTTACTGAGAAGAATATTACTGAAAGAATATTACTGAAAATATATTTTGATATAAGATGATCACTAGTAGCTTTTGCAGAGAAGTTTTGGCTGATAGACTATCTAGCAGTCATACTAAAGGCATTTGTAAGGGAATAAATAAATGCCTTCATGACAAGAAGTGAAAGGCACCAGGTTGGACTACACATTTTTAAAATATTTCAGTATAAAACCTGACATTGTAATTGTTTTATCTGCTCTTTAAGGTGATAAATCCCAAAAAGAAAGGAAAAAAGAAGAAATATACTAATTCAGGAACAGTAAGTCAAATTTTATGTTATTCATTAAGGATTCAAATAAATGAATAAAAAATATATATAACATTTTGTATTGAATAAAAGCTACTAAAAACTGCGCTGTTTCACTTAGAGTTTTAATGTGAATGTATATAATAAAAAATTAACTTGCTATGGGAATTGTAATGGAGAACACATTATAGGAGGTAGCGACCCAGCTTCCTGCAAGTTGTCCTAGGGGTTGAATGGCCTCTGAGAGAAGATGAAATTTTATTATGAATTCTTCATTCAATAAAATCACACTAGAGAAAATCAAGTAGAAGTGAAAAAGTGTAAGTTGTAATAAGAAATATACTCTTTATAGGCTATACTTAAGACTTGTTTTATAAGATGTGAAAGTATTTGTTTATAGTGCATTAAAATTGACAACTCTGTGGAAATGCTGGACTAAATCAGTACAGGAAGGTGCAAAGATGAAAGTATGTTAAAATTGTGAAAAATCAAAATCATCCTATTTTGATAAAAAATATACTGAAAATTTTATCCTATGATTAACTGTCCTTGGGAGAAGAAAATATAAGTTCCCTCCAAGTTTTCTTTTAAAAGATTTTTATAAAGCAAGGCATTTAAAATATTAGATGGCCTCATTACAGGTCCCTGACAAAAACACCCATTTCTTTTTATATGGTTTAGCTCACTGATTTTGATTTTTTAGTTTTAACCATTTTCTAGCTTCCTTTCATCTTTCCTTTATATCTAAAATGGGAAGTAACACAGTGTCCTTGTAGATAATTTGCATGTTCTTCAAAGGAAGTAAACTGGTCATAGAAAGGAGTCATTTAATTTTTTGGCCCCTTTTCTTCTGATAATTTTAAATGTAAGAAAAATCAGTCCTAGTAAATTTTAATAAAGAATAATATCTTTATTAATTTTCAAAATACTAGGAAACATGATTTACTCTCTAACAGAAAAAAAGTCCATTTGGGGATGCAATTAGTACTAGCAGGTAATTCTGCCTCCTTTTTCTTTTCTTTTTTCAGGTCACGTTACTTTCTTTCGTGGTAGAAACAGAAGTTTCATTCCTTGACTATATTAAGGGAGGGTAAGTCATTCTCTGAAATTGTTTCACTGCTTAAGAAATGGTGAGAGGCAAGTTTGAATGTGTTTAGAAACTTCATGACAACAGCAGTCAGAGACATCACGTATATAAGCCTCTTACTAATTATAATTAAGCAGGGTTTTGGGGGGTTTTTTGTTTTGTTTTGTTTTGCCAATACTGATTTATTGCTAGAGTGTTGTCAAGCCAAAGAAGGATTGAGAGAATGAGGGGGGCCAAAGGAACAAAGACAGTTTCCCCCAAAACAGAGAGCTTACCCCCTTTTGCTCTTTGTTAAGAAAACAAAACAAACAAAAGCTATACTTGCCCAAATGGGGAACCTCTGCTATATATGGGCATCTTGAAACCTGCCACCTGGATACATAGACTAAGAAGCTACAGGGTGATTGTTTCAATAAAGTTAAAAGAAAACGTACTAAGTAGGAAAAAATGTTTGCCAACTCTCCTTAGTATTTCGATGTTTGTGTATATTTTTGTCTTTAGAAGATGGGAAAATAGAAAGTTGAATTTGTCATAAAAAATAGATTCCTGTATAAATAAACTCCTTGGTAGCTGTAACTAATAGTTGATTAAAAAGATGGACATTTCTTAGCATGCTCTTTATAAACTTAAAAAAAGTGCTTGATAGATCTGGCTATAATTTGCATGTTGAAATGATGATTTGAAGTTTTAAAATACTAAAAATTCCTTTTAGTTTTTGTTTTGTTTGTCTTTTGGCTTTGCTTTGTGATCATGTGAAGTGGGTAATGTGTGTGTGTGTGTGTGAAAAATATCCAATAAGTATTGTCAGTAGTACAAATCAAGTGATACTTTGATGTGAATCTAACAGTAAAAGAAATTTTCAGAATCTATTACCAATAAATCACTTTTATTGGTTGTGCACATTCTCCTTTTGAGGATTCTTAGGGCTAATTAGAGCAAATGGGTTTCTACAATGCTTAAGCAATAACAGTATTGACAACTGTCATTTTTATGCTTCTTATCACCTCCAAGATTTTTTTTTTTTTTTTTTGGTTTACACACATCCTACTTATATAGCACTGCCTGTGCTGGAAGAAATGCTAGTGACCTTTTACTGACAGAAGTCAGTGTATAAATGGAGCCCCAACCTATGAGGTACACTTTGTTCTAATCCTGGCTTCCCAAATGTTTTATAAAAACCCATTTTTTTATTTACAAATGGGATATGGAGCAATAGAGTTTGAAATTTACTACATAGTTAATCTAACAGGACTTATATTAATTTTTATATAATATTATCTAAAAAGGACATGAGAAATATCTGCATATAATTCATTTGTATATGAAGATGTATATAATAAATTTTTAAAATATACTACAATTACATGTTTACCTATTATTCATCACTATTTCTAATACTTATTATATAGATATTGTCCCTTTGATAATGGAATCCGAATTGAGAAGCAATATAATTATTGTATTCTGTGTCTTTATGTGTCTTTGCTCTTAAGGACTTGTTATAAGCAATTGGGCATAAAATTTTAATTCCGACTTTATTAATAATATAGTGAGGAGATCTGGCTTTATCATGACCCTCCTTATCACTTCAATTTCCTGTAGTTTACATGAGTCGCCTTAGTTTCTTTCATGACCTTAATGATATTTAATTTCCCTCTGAAGTTATTGCTTATATTCCTACAAAAAACTTACTCTCACCTATCAATTTACTATACAGTGTAATTTGCGTATAATAATAGCTAACATCTGCTGACAGCTAAGTGCCTCAAGGTTATTAACTCTACCCATCTCTCTGTTGGTCCCTTTCCCTTTCTGCTCACCTCCTTTCTCCTTCTCCTGCTCACCTCCTTTCTCCTTCTCCCTCTTTCTCTCATGAGTAATATTCATGTTGATAATTCTGTTTTCTAAAAAAGTAATGAAGTTTATTTACTTGATGTACTGTTAACTTTCAGTCTTCATATAATTAATATTTTCTATCTCATTGCTGCTAGTCAAAAATACAGTTTAATTTACATAGCCTAAGGGAAAATGATGCTTTGGCATGCAGGATATCTAAGAATTTTACCATCAGATATTTGTGAAGATTTAAACTTATTTAACTGTGAGTTATGGGTATTTATTATGATGGTTACTTCATAGAATTCCTGACTCTAATTATAGGAAATGAGGAATAGAGTTTTATGTTCTAATCTTTCTTAAAAATCTCTATTGGTATGAAAATAACAAATTGTAGCAATTTGAAATGGAGAACATGAAAGCCAGTGTGGAAATGTAGCTGCATTTATTCCAAATATTGCAGCAAATTACTTTTATTTTTCTTCACAGATTTCCTATTGATTTTTTTAGACATTTTATGGGATTTCCCTGACGGTCCAGCAGTCAAGACTCTGTGCTTCCACTGCAGGGAGCACAGGTTCGATTCCTTGTTGGGGAACTAAGATCCCGTCTGCTGTGCAGTTTGGCCAAACAAACAAACAAAAAAAGATAGACATTGTAAACTTTCTTCCCTTGCTATTAAGAAATCTCAACCTCCAAGTAGATAAATGCACCGCCATGATGGAAAATTATATTAAGACCAGACACATAATTACACAAACTTTCTGAATAATAGCAAAATAGAATATAATGAACTACATTCATTTCAAATTAGAATTAATTATAATAATTGACAGTTAATTATTATAGTTTCAATAATGGCTATTGACTCTCTTGTGAATAATATCAGTCAGAATTTCTAGTCTCTTGCAACTAAAAAAATACTGTAAACTGTTAAACAACTCAGTAATATTTGGTACTCTTCAGAGTAACTTTTTTCTGAAACCACAGAAACTTTTTTTTTAGTGTTTTATTTTCAGTTTTGAGGAAAAGGAGTATTATATCTTCCAAATTTTAAACATAAATATCTATATTTGTGTTTCACATTGTAAACATGAAATGTGAAATGGTAAAAAAAAGTAATGTAAAATGAAAATAATTTATTATGAAACTAGAATCCCCTGTAGTCATACTCTCTAGAGATAATCACTGTTAGAAATGTATTTATTCCCAAACACACATCATTATTTTTAATGAGTGGGATAGCACTGTGCACAATAGTCTAATGTATATTTTCTTCATTAAATATACTGTGTATATATGTTTCTGTGTCAGTACTTATAGATCTACCATATTTTAATAGTTTTCCATCATATGGATGTACATAATTTAGTTTAAAAATCTCCTGTTGATACACACTTTAGTTGTATCCATTTTATTTTCATATTATAAACAAGGCTGCAATGTAAACCCTGGTACATAGCTTTTTTGTACACTTCATTAAGCATTTCTGCAAGGTCACATCCTAGAAATAGTATTGTTGGTTTAAATGGTATGCATATTTTACAATTTGTCAGGTATTTCTAAATTATTGTGTTAACAAAAGGGTAATAATAATAATTTATACTTCTAACATCTGTGTATGCAAGTTTACCATATACTTACCCTTACTGAATAGCATCACTACTTTTTCAACTTTGCTAATTTAATAGATAAATATTATAACTCATTGTCAGTTTTTATCTGTGAAACCTATTTATTAGCCGTTGTGACGTCCTTTGTGAAAGCCCATATTTAACCAGCCGTATCTTTGGAAACACAGGTTTCAGAACCTTCTATTTTTGCTTTTCCCCTGCTCCCTCCTCCCTAGTCCCACCAAAAAAGTTTGAGTATTTTCAACTGAAAACACAAGACCAAATGTAGTAGGGAGCTACATCCTTCAGTACAGTAAACACTTCAGATAAACTTCCCCAATATTCACATCTTGGTCTTTGACACCACTTCTCTTCTGCACATATCTAAAGAGACTCTTTTTAATCTGGCCTTGCCTTTTGCCCTGTGATTACAGTGAAGAAAAACAATAAAATTAACTAACACTTTGGGCTGCAATCAACGAAGCAATCCAAAATAGTATTTTGGAGGTCATAACTATTTGCAGATTTGTGGAGTTATCAAGGTTAGTTCTTTTGAAGAGATGTCCCACCATATTTCTAAATAAGTATGATATTTCAGAAGTGATTGGAACCAAGTGTTGAATTCAGTTTTGTTTTTATAAAAAATTATAGTAACTACTCATTTTTAACTTAAAATACCAAGATATCAGCATTTGTTACTGGTATTTGTGTATTGTTTTCTTGTTAACTTGGGTGAGCATCATTATTGCTAATTTGGGTGGCATCAATTCAGGAATGTACTCACCATATTCTAGTCTAGCAGAAGCTATTGTTGAGTTTTGCTTATGCTGAATCTTAATTGACAAGTAAAACTAGATGTTTTCAAAAAAGGTGGAAGATCATCATATAAAATATTAGTAACAGCAGTTATATTGGTACTCTGGCTAGCTGTGGGTTATCCAAAATAACATTAGTTTAGGTTTTCCTGTATTCATTTTGTTCTCTACATTAATTGTATAAACTATTTTCCTTATACTGGACAACATGTGGGAGCATGAGAATAGACAAAGAGGGCAAAACAGGTGACTCGTGTGGAACATGTAGGACTAACAGATTGTGATTAAACTCTTAGAAGGAAATTCTTGAATCACACTTTAAAATGTAATCTCTCTTCTTGTTTCATCTTACAAAAAATAATTGAATAGAAAGTTATGAAAATATTGTTTTCTCATGAATCCAAGTAGAAATTATGTATAGTTAAGAATGAACACATTTAAATATTAAAATTGTTCTCAATAGACCTTTAATATCTTCCCCTTCAAAGGAACTTCTTTATATGTCTAATTCTTAGTATTGAGTATTCTAGGCTTCCACTACTATAGTCATTATTGATGTAGATATTTACCTGATTGATTGATTGTTTGTGAAACCATGTTGTTAGTGTGTTACTTTTCATTCATTGTCTCAGTTCCTAACACACTGTGTTTAGCTGCAGTAGACAGGTTTATGGATTGAGCTACACAGTGAGCAGATGAGACAGATGCATTCTCAATCAGACAAGGTCCAATTTTTATG